CCTTATTCAAACACCTGGCTTTTCTGTTCTTCAGTTTCTGCTAAAGGCCTTCTTACTCTTCTTGTCAGCAGAGTTAGCTCCCTAGCAGCTGTTCTCCATCCGGGGACAGTACGACCCTGAGCCGCTGCACAGCCTGCCAGGGCTTACCAATTGTCCATGCTATGAAACTCCAAACCCTAACCCCAGGTCTCCCTGACCACAGTCTCCAGCCATATCTCTTGCCATTCTCACCTCTCACTCTCTGTTCCCCAGCCATAATGAGCCAGGTTCACTCCTCCGAACAGTATGCACCTGTCTCAGGGCACAGAGAAGTCTCTATTTAAAGCGTCTTTACCTCCCCCTGCATGTAACTAGGGAACAATGTCCTAATTTTAGTATTTGATCTGTCCCTGTCCTTCCAGACCATGCTAACTGACCTTTCATTGTATGGTCTAGTATAACAGGAGGGAATACAGTTTACAGAATATAAACTTGGGCCTTGGTGACAGACTGCTTGGATTCGAAACCTGACTCTACCACATGCTAGGGGAATGGTAGTTAATTCATAGACTCATGATGAGGATTAATATATTACTCACAAGAAGTAATTAGGACAATGCCTGATCCTTGGTGAGTATTCAATAGCTTTTCATTAATGTCATGGATTTGTCAGACAAAGCCAACAGATTAACAGTGTAATAGGTATCCTATGGTTTTATAACCTGAAAATAAATGCACTTTTTTGGGTTTGGCTGGCTCTGAGGGCCTATAGAACCTCACTTATATTTATTACTACAGCAAGACCCATAGTTTCTGTCCTCTGACTCCAAGAGTGCAGCCAAGAAAGACAAAATACAAGGGATCTGGGGATGAATAATCCCAGACTTTTATAAAATACCACCAGTTTCTTTGGGTTAGTTTTTAAGTTTTAAATATTTTTTTAATTTATTTATTTGACAGAGAGAGAGACGGGAGAGAGGGAACACAAGCAGGGGGAGTGGGAGAGGGAGAAGCAGGCTTCCCGCCGAGCAGGGAGCCCGATGCGGGGCTCAATCCCAGGACCCCGGGATCATGACCTGAGCCGGAGGCAGACGCTTAACGACTGAGCCACCCAGGCGCCCCAGTTTTTAAGTTTTGAAAACATTGGAAGTCTAGCACTAAAAATGACTCTTGGCTATTTGCTCATTGACATTTGAAACACGTGATCCAACTACTCCTCCAAATTCGGCGCACTGGGGAAAAAGGTGAGAACAGCATCAGGAACATTCTGCTGTTGGCATCATAATCCTCTGCAGATATGAGAGGTAACAGGGAGTTACATAGTCACAGAGAGGGAATCTTTTCTTTCCCTGGGGGAATTCGCCTATCTGTTGATTTCTTCCAGGGGAACATTAGTAGGTTGAAAGCAGAAAGACACTATAAGGGGGAAAACTGTCAGACCCTTTGGTGGTTAATCAGGGCTGGCATAACAGATTGGGAACTAGAGGAGCCCCACCTCAAAGCCTGTTTCTCCCGTAGGACACTTGCTGAATTCCAGAATGGCACAGTAGTCTGGGAACTAAACTGGAAAAACAGAACAAACTCCTGCCAGAGGGCAGAGCCTCCAACAAACCATAGTGAATCTCTTCCTCAGGACATCTTCATTAAACCTGTATGGATGGGAAGCTAGAAAGCTAAGGTCAATGTCCGACAGAAAAAACAAAAATGTATTAGGCATGCAAAGAGGTAGGAAAATGTACCCCAAAATCATTATTTTTAAAAGCAAAAGCTGATGGCCGTACAACAAAGTGAATGCACTTAAGTTCAAATGTAAGCTTAAAAATTGTTAAAATGAGGGACACCTGAGTGGCTCAGTCGGTTAAGCGGCTGCCTTCGGCCCAGGTCATGATCCCAGGGTCCTGGGATCGAGTCCCACATCGGGCTCCTTGCTCAGCAGGGAGCCTGCTTCTCCCTCCCTCTCCCTCTGCTTGTGCTCTCTCTGTCACATAAATAAAATCTTTAAAAAAAATCTTTAAAAAATTGTTAAAATGATAAATTTTATGTTACACGTGTTTTGCCGTAATAATTAATAACTAAGATAAGAGCTGAACTACCGCTGTCCCAATTTTAGAGTCAGCAGACAAGAACATTAGAATAACTATGAGTAGTTATGTTCAAGAAATCAAAGTAAAAGGTGCATAGAATAAATGAAACAGGTAGAATTTTAACTGTGAATTGGGGCCTATAAAAAGAATCAAATGCACATTCTGAATTAAAAATGCAATATCAGAATCAAAGAACTCATGATATAGGTTATTTTTTAAAAGATCTTATTTATTCATTTTAGAGAGAGGGAGAGAAGCCACAAGTGGGGAGAAGGGCAGAGGGGGCGGGAGAGAGAATCCCAAGCAGACTTCCTGCTGAGCGTGGAGCTGGTCTTGGGGCTCGATCTCACAAGCCTGAGACCATGACCTGAGCCAAAATCAAGAGTCAGATGCTTAACTGACTGAGCCACCCAGGCACCTCTCATGATATAGACTTAACAGCAGGCTAGACATAGCAGATGACAGGATTATTAAAGTTCATCAGATAATATCCAAACTAAAGCACAGTAAGAAAAAAAGCAAAGGAAAAAATATGTAAAATGAGTAATAGTTAAAAAATCTAATGTATATGTATCCAAAATGCCAGAGGGGAAAGTGAGAGACAATATTTGAATGGATACACAAACAATGAATCATGGAACACTACATCAAAAACTAATGATGTAGTGTATGGTGATTAACGTAATAAAACAAACAAACAAATAAACAAACAAACAAGAAAATATTTGAAGGGATAATGGTCGAGATGTTCCAAAACTGTTAAAAATATCAATTCACAAATTTAAGAAGCTCAGATTCCCCTTGCCCCAATTACACGCAGACATATCATAACCACAGTCCTAAAAATCTAAGACAAAGGGAAAATCTTCAAAGCAGCCGGAAGACAAAAGCACACATTACCCTCAATGAAGGAACGATAAATTGGGAATAGGTGATCTTTTCCATAAGGGGTGAGGAGTCAGTTGGATAATCACAGTGATAGAAAAGAAAGGTCTCCTCAGCAACCTGACTGAATCTCTTGGACTTTATGCTAAGCAGGGAAAAATCCAGACAGGAGAGCGTTCAAAATACGTCGTTTGATTTATATGAAGTTCAAGAATTGACAAAACCCATCAATGGTGTTAGAAGTCAGAGTAGTGTCTACCTCAGGGCAGCAGGATAGAGACTGGGAAGGAGAAAGAGAGAAATCACTGGGAGTGTTCTATATCCTCATCTGAGAGGTGGTTTCACATACACATACATGTGTATGTATGTATGTGTGTGTATATATAACTGATCTATCCAATTGCACACTTAAAATTTGTGTATGCTACATCTCAATAAAAAAATAAGGAATTACTATATATTTGTCTTTCATCTTTTGTTGATGCACTTCCCCCAGTATTTCTTTATGTAGAGAATGAGGGCCAAATTCATGTACCCAAAGGTAAAGGGCAGAGTGAATTGACATCCTAGACATTGAAAAGCGCAAATGTGAACATTTGTGTGTGTGTCCTTAGAATTTCAGTTTTGCAAACCACCGCAGTGCTGTCAATTCCAGACCCTTATTTATGCTGTTTTCTTTGCCTAAAATGTGCTTTCTTCTCCCTTGACCTGGTTATTCATCCTCTTTGTCTATTTGCTTGCTCTGGAAAGTCTTTCCAGAACCTGATGTTTGAGTTAGGAGCCTCCAGTTTAAAATAATTTATTATTGAAGTATAATTTACATACAATGCTCTATTAGTTTCAGGTGCACAACATATTGATTTGACAACTCTATACATTACCCAGTGCTCACCATAATAAGTATAGTCACCATCTGTCACCATACGTTAATACAATACATTTTTTAGGTCTTATTTATTTATTTGAGAAAGAGAGGGAGAGAGAGAGAGAGAGAGTGCACGTGTTCGGGGAGGGGCAGAGGGACAAGCCAACTCCCTGCTGAGCACTGAGCCCGACTCAGGGCTTGATCCCACAACCCTGAGATCATGACCTGAGTTGAAATCAAGAGTCGGATACTTAGACTGAGCCACCCAGGCGCCCCTGTCATTACAGTATTATTGACTCTATTTCCTATGTTGTACTTTTCATCTCTGTGACTTACTTATTCTATAACTGGATGTTTGCCCATCGAAAACCTTCATTTTGAGTTTGGAGCCTCTCTTTGTGCTCCCATGGTGCCCTTTGCCTACAATTATATAACTCTGGCACTTCAGAATGCAATTGCCTTCTTACTTGTTTGTCCCCCACGTTAAGCTGCAAGTTCCTGAAGAGGAACATGAGTTACTAAAGGTTGGATCTCTGGCACTCGATACAATGCCTGGTGGGTATTCTCTAATCATTTGTTGAATGATCAAAAGGGTGCAGAACAAACTGGACATTTGAGCTTTCATGGAAAGGTCATGCCTGATACCTGAGTCCAGTAGGATAGCACAGTGGAATTCGAGTCAACCTGGAGCACTCTTTCACTGATGACTCTTCATGTTGGCATGTGAATTTCTGACTTCTTGCGCGTTTACTCAGCACGCCCCCAACATGCAGCACCTCACTGTATGATTGTAAAGAAAGGAAATGGGGACCTGGGTTAAATCTCAGCCCTAAAAGGCCTCAAACAGGTCTCCCACTATCTAAATTGGATTTACAAATTCAAATGCAGAACGGAGCTGGGCAGAGAGTATAAATGGATGCAGTCGATTATATCATTGCTCTCTATTATCCACTGCTCTTCCTGAAAGTGAGTTATATAGCCTCACCATTATCGTATGACTTGCAGGACTTCCCTTTGGAGGAAGTATACTTCCTCGCCCCACTGATGTCAGCTTGACTTGTAATTTGCTTTGGCCAATAAACTGTGAGCAAAAATGGCATGTCCCGTGTCTGAGCAGAAGCGTTAAAAGCCATTGCCCTGTTGGGCCATTTTTCTCTTTCACCTGCAACAAGAACAGCAGATTCTAAATGGGGGCTGCTCCCTCAGTCTGGATCCTAGAAGCCCTAGCCTTTCCACAGACAAAATGTAACGTGAGCAGGAAAGGAACCAGTGCTGTTGAAGACACTGAGGCTTTGAGGTTCCTCCCGATTATAACGCAGTCTGAGCTGACTGCTGCAAGCATCAGGTGCAGGACTTGGCTAACTCCAGAAAGGCTACCTGACCCAAGGACAGCCAATCCTCCCTCAGCTCCAGGGGATCCTGGCTATGTGGGAATGCAAAGCTCACTCTTGCCGAATCCTCCTGACCTTTAAGAGGGGCCAAACTTTTAATTAAATCCCCTCCTAATAAATGCCTGATATGGACAATACATACCTCATTTTTATTAAAATATTAAAAATATAAGTAAATCATTTCCTGATTTTTAACTAAAATACACCTTCTTCTAGATATTGGCAACTAGATCAACATGCTTAAAAAGACACTTAGAGGGGCACCTGGGTGGCTCAGTTATTAAGCGTCGGCCTTCGGCTCAGGTCATGGTCCCAGGGTCCTGGGATCAAGCCCCGCATGGGGCTCTCTGCTCCGCGGGAAGACTGCTCTGCCTCTTCTATTCCCCCTGCTTGTGTTCCCTCTCTCGCTGTGTCTCTCTCTGTCAAATAAATAAATAGAATCTTAAAAAAAAGAAAAAAGATACTTGGAGCCCAATCAAATTAAGGGATACATTTGCGATCTCTTATCGACCCCTCCATTTTCTCATGTATAAAATAAGGATAACACAGGTATCCCTCGCTTTTTGAAAGTTCGTGTTGCACCACTCTGCTTTAACGAAGGACCTACATTAAAACCTGTTTCCAGTAATCAAAAGAAATCCGAAGAGGATTTTCGCTTTTAGGAAAAAAGGACGAGAAGTGAAAATAGCGTTCAGTGTGTTTGGCGGCTGACAGCTGTGACGGCTGCACAAACCGGAGCTGCGAGAGCGTCCCCAAGCTCCTTCCTCGGGAACTACACTCAGCATCTCAGCGTCAAGCCTTCACAGCCTCGAGCTTGTCTGTGAGCACCTGTGCTTTATCTCCATTTATTTTGTGCCTCCTTTAGTAAGATGTGTCCTAAGGTATTAGAAAAGCCGAAGAGAGGGTTTTTGGAAGGGTTCTGGAAACGCTCGGATATGTTTCTATATAAATTAACAGTAACCACTTCTTTGCTTTATGCCATTTGGCCTATGAAAAGTTGCACGAGAAAGTTCTACTTTTGGTTAGCAGGGGAAACCTGTATCTGTTCTGCCTCTCTAATAGGGTTATTTTGAGCACCAGATTTGTCATATTTGTGTTTATTTTAATTTTGAAATGCTAAGATAACAAAAGAAGGTCAAGGCAAAGCAGGCTGCGGCTTCCTAGGGCGAAGCCACTGTATCAACTTCCCCACGTCTCCCCTCCTCTTCGGTTCTCCGCGCAAAGCACCCACAGTAGACTTCTCCACAGGTGGATCAGACTAACATGCAACCATCTTGAGGCATAGTCTGGTCTTGAAACAGTTGGGACATTAGTAATTGGCAAAAAGGGACACTTCCTCCCCATGGGGAAACAAGTTGGAACTAGGTTGGTAGATCCAAATAGACTTTCCTCCTCTGCCACATTGTAATTCATCCTTCTTCTGGACTAGTGACAATCAAGAAAAAATAGCCCAAAGACCACAAAATTGAGATAAGGTTTCTATGTTTGATGAAACGTCTCAAAAGTACTTGTTTTACTTCAGGCATAGACCCAAAATTCTCAAAAGGTACATAAATTTGTCTGACACATGTGCACGATGCATCTCACAGGTGGGGTTTTATGGTGATCTGGAATATGTGTTTCAGTAAGAATATAAAGAAGTTGGCGGAAATGCGTGGAAGGGAGAAGTGAAATCTGAGGTACATTTTTTTCTGCTGTGTTTTCAGGGCTCACATTTTTCCTTCCATTATGCAGACGTGCCACTAGAGGTCACTGTGCAGTTCTACTTCCATGCACCCTGTGTGTAATGCCGGGGCTCACCTCCAGTTTCTACGCTGAGAACCCTACAGGTTTTGCCTGTCTTTCATCAGGCCAGGTAGGGTCAACATGTCTTGCCTGAAGGAAACTACAGAGCCATACTTGACCCAAGGTCAATTCCCGCTCCCCACCTTAGTAAGAGCTAACTAGCCCTTGCCAGTGACCAAGAGCAAAGCATCCATTTCTTTCCTGTGGCCTGATGTTCTTTGCTGTGGCAGTTGCCTATGTGGTCTGGTGGCCAACACTGACGACAATTTACTGACTGCCCCTCAGCGTCGGTAGGGTATTCTGCCAGATGCTGGAGGTAGAACAAGGGAGACAAGACTTACCAATACAACGAAATAATCATGCAGGAAAACAAATGAACTAGCTTAAGTGTTGCAGGAGTTCCAAGAGTGGCTAATGAAGTGGTTCGCCAGGAAAGCAGGAGGTCACATTAAGAAGAGTGTTCTCAGGGGCCAGTCAATCCAGGCTGAAGATGGTATAGATTTTAGACTGATTTTCCTTTTCTCCTTCTGCCTTAGCGAGAGACTTCCATGCAGCAGGTTAAGTAACCTGAAGCTACGATGTGACATAGGAGACGGGTGGATAGATAGCTAGACCCACCTCTACTCCCCAACATCGCCTAAAAGAAATTGCTTTCCTCTGCAGTGCAATATTCATTTGTCGTTCATTGATTTGACAAATATTTATTGTCAGTTGTGCCCCAAGCACTCAGTGGGAAGATGGCCACAGGCAGGGCATGCACACTTAGAACTCGTAGGCCAGCGAGGACCCAAAGATGTGATGTGCAGTGCAATAGGGTAAGCCCTCTGATAAGAGGAGAATGGGGTACAAGTACAGAACAGGAACCCCTGATGAAGACTTAGGAAGTCAGGGAAGGCTTCCTGGAGGAAGTACTCTTAAATTGAGATCTTAAGCAGAATAGAAGTCGATCATGTAAGAAGAGAGTAAGTATGTTCCAGGCAGAGGTAACAAACACAGAAGAAAAAAAAAAAAAACAGGATTTTATTCTTGTATATACAGTTTTGGATCTTGCCATTTTCCATTTTTATCTTGAGTCTCCATATGTACTGTTTTTGAAAACATGATTTGATTTGATTTTTTGAAAATGTCATTTTAATAGCTGCCTAGTAATCCAGTGTGAGGATAGTGACTATTTACTTATTTTCAAAGGGAAATTGCATTTTTAAGGCTCATGCTAATTGTTCTCACCTTAGAAATATGAAATCATGTGGAATAATCTTATTGCTCATATTAATATCCAAAATAAATCTCCTTTACTCGACTGTCTGCTAAAAACAATTTCTGCAACCCAACCTGATACCCAGCCATAGCAAATACTAAATTTAAGCGAGCTATTGGTTTCCTAAATATTGATTACATTTAACTATGTGTAAATTTTGCTATAACTGCTTTGCATGAATTGGTAGGACCTTCAGAGGGGCTCTAGGATTCTGAGGCTTTATCGTTCTTGCGCTGTCCCTCAGAGTCCCCCTCTGTGTCCCTCTTAGTCCCCCTTCAAGCTTACATCTCAGTGCCCGCTCTGTCCCTCAGAACCCCCTGTCTGGGATGTTAGCTGACCTTTATCTCCATCTTTTCCCCAGTAAAAGATTTTTTTTTCTCTCTGTGGCTCCATTCCCTGAAGGTGCAAACCATTAGTTTCATAAATAGCTTTTTAAACCACATTTTGGGTAAAAATTTACATATAATTTATTTGACAAATTCCTGACTTAGCAAGTCGATTTTCTGGGGCAAGCAGGAAAGATACTCACGGCTCTAACAGGAAGATTTAAGTAGAATACCCAAACCGCCTTCTTTTGAGCTGTTTCAGATCTAATTCTTATTGTTTCGTTTTCTGCCTCCCTTTAAAATGGACCTTCCTCAGATGGCCATACCCCTCACTTTAACCTGCTTTACAACAAGGTTTTGGGGTCATCTGCTTTTGTTTTTGCGCGTTTGCATGATTGTCCTGGCACACACTTGTGCTTGCTTAGGCGAGGCATGTTTTGGAGAGGAACGACACCCTGACTGCCGCCATGTGGGCTCTAGCTGTTGCATTGAAACTCTGGTTTGAACTGAAATTTTCTTGTATCTCATGTATTCTCAGATCACTGTGTGACTTGTCATGAGTGTGAGAGTTCTTTCAAAACCTCAGAGCACTCAATGGCAATGTAAGTGCTCCAATACATTCAGTTCACATGTAAGAAGTCACTTTCATCCAGGCCCGCAAGGATCTCTACATGAAACCTGAGAAGGTCTCTAGCTCCCTAAGAGCAACCCCAGACTGGCTCAGGGCCCCCATCTCAGGCCTTCAAGGCCCAATTAGGCAGCTCCTGAAGACCATCACTGCCTTGCAATGCCCACTTAATTTATGCCAAGTAAATTTAACATGTAGCAGCCAGTTCCCTGCAGTGAAGATTTTACTTAACACTCTAATAATGCCAGTTGAGCAGCTATCCATGCATCTTTACTGACAGATGTTTGACAAATTTGCATAATTTAAAATGCCTCCCAGGCCTATCAACTGGTGCCTCAAAAAGTGTGTCTGAAAGATAACAGCACCCGGGCGGGAGCCACGGTCCGCCACACCAGTCCGTCTTTGGTGGTTTCCCAGCACTGACTATCGAGAGCCAGCTCATGATCTCAGGATGTACGAAAAAATAGTAATTATATTACTACTCTCGGGTAAGTGGATTTTTTTAGCATGATGCTGTTATATTGGATATTAAATTTCATAGATTAAAATATAAACTGCTTGCTCTAAGTTCTATCTTACTTAAACGAATAAATGAATGAATAGTATCTCAGATGGTGGGTGGATTTTTATTGGAACTGAGCTGGCAAGGCGGAAGGAATTGGATTAAGGTGCTCAGGTGCTCGGTAGTTGTGGCGGGATCACAATTTTCCAGTATGAGAAGCATGCTTCAGTTCTAAGCCTAGCTACAGCGAAAAGAATTGTATCAAATACTATAAGAAATATCTCCATGTGAATAAATTTGTTGCCTTCTTTGTGTTTAACTTCTAAATTAAAGAACCACTAATGAAGGTGGATATTCGGTCCTCAGTTTTCAAAAAAGCTTTCTGAAAAAATTCTAATTTCCTCCTTCTGCCGCCAATAGAGTATAAGCTACAGCATGAACTCTGAATTCATGGAGGAGTTGTTTCCCTCTCTGTGGTCTGTTACTGAGGTACGATGGAGGAAGAAGAAAATCTGGCTTAGGTATTATGTGGTTTGTAGAGAAATGAAAATGTCAAAATCAATTCATTAAGATAAAGAAATAACATGGAGTATTATTTATTTTTATTTATTTTATGATTTTTAAAGATTTTATTTATTTATTTCAAAGACAGAAATAGTGAGAGAGAGAACGAGAGGGGAGGAGAGGGAGAAGCAGGACCCCCCCCTGAGCAGGGAGCCTAACACGGGGCTCGATCCCAGGACCCTGGGATCATGATCTGGGTGGAAGGCAGGTGCATAACTGACTGATCCACACAGGCGTCCCTTTTTTTTTTTTAATTTTTTTATTTTGAGAGAGAGAGAGAGCAGGGAGGGGCAGGGGGAGAGGGAGAGAGAATCCCAAGCATGCTCCATGCTCAGCGCTGAGCCCAATGCAGGGCTCGATCTCATGACCCTTAGATCATAAGATGGAGTATTATTAAGCTGTATTAAATTAGCAATATTTTTGGCCTCTTCCTGAGAGTGGTATGGTTAATGTCTTCTCAGGTGCAGTGTTTATGTGTTAGAAATACTAGTGCCCAGCACAGAAAAAGAAGCAGGCAGTTACCTGAAATGTATTTAACCCCCAGACATTACTCGGACTCAAATTGGAGCACAGATCAAGGATCTACTGGGCACTCTGTAGGAGAGAGGGAAGGGATCCAGCACTTTATAACACATATTAGGGGATAAGATCGTGTAATGGCTAAAACGCAGGCATGAGAAACAGAACTGGGCTCAAACCTGCTTGCACATCAGAAAGGCTGGGGGGTATCAAGGCAACGTATCCCCTCTTTGCCTCGGTGTCTTCATCTTTAAAATGTCTACAATGTTGGCGCCTGCCTCCCAGGAATGAAGTAAGGACTAAACAAAGGAGTAGCAAATTAATAAATAATTTAGCTACGATAGTAATTATTGACTAGGGAGCAAACCTGGGTATGTGATGATGATTTCTGAGAAGTCGGAATACGGGAAAATTACAGGAAAACAGAACACTAACAGAATTGCTCTAATTTTTTTCAAGTAGCAAAGTATAAAGACAGCTTGAAGAAGAGAAAACAAGCAGAGGGGATGTGGTATAACATTTAAATATATTCCAGTACTTCTACAGTTATTACACAGAAGGGAGAAAAGGTATTCTTTGTGTTGTTCAGAGGCGGAAGGGGGCCTACTCAATCCAACTAGACGCATCACCCATTTTTTTTTTTTTTTTTTTGTGGTGGGGGTGGTGTGGGATATTTGGAAAAGGTTCCTGGAAAAGAAATAAATTCTTTGTATCTACACCTGCTCAAGCAATAGTGTACTAAGGCCTTCAATGAAAACTTCATGAGAGATCAAGGCCACGTGACTCCAAAGGCCCCCTGGGCCCTCAGTGCCAATGCTGCTACCATCTTGACCTTTTCTGAAACCCTCTGAAGAAATTCTGTGGACATGACTACTTTACAGAATAATGGAAAGGTGTCTGAGCAGGATCCTGCCCCCCCCCCCCCGCCACCCATCAGCAGGTGAAGTGGAGAAATCTGGAAAGTGTAAGGCTGGTTAAACATCTTTGGCTAGGGAGAAAAGAAAGATTATTTTTCTTTCCCTAGAAATCTTAAGGGTAAAACCAGTATTTCTAATTCTAAATTTATCAGATGTCATCCTCTAAATAGAGAGTAGGTTCTCTTGAAATTATCTGATTCCTGGCCCCGGAATTCATGTGGTCTTTCGGCACTTACGTGCCAGGGGCTGGACACTGAGGCCACAGCAGTAAGATCAGTGAGCTCCTGGGGAGGATCCACTCGGGGTGGGTGGGGGCAGACAGTGGGAGGGAACACCAACATTAAACCGAATAAGTAAACTACTAACGAAAGAACAGTGGCAAATAACACAAAGAAAATTAAACCAGGAAAGGTGATGAACATAATGCAGCGGGCTGATTTACAAAAGAGTAGCAGGAAATTTCTCTCTGAGTAAGTAACATTTATGCCGAGAAGTGAACCACGAAAAAAAGCCAGCTTGAGAAATCTTGGGGCAAGGCATTGAAGGTAGGGGGAAGAGCAAGGGCAGAAGCTCTGACACAGAAGAAAACTTAGTGTGTTCAAAGCTTTTCTTTGAAAATCTGATTCGGATGCTAAGAAGGAATTTGAGAATAGAGTATTGCAACACTCCGACCAGCAAATGATGTCATAAACCACGACCCTCTTAAAATCTCCTGATTTTACTTTAAAATTTATGCAAAATTTGTATTCTAGGCCACAATATACCGATTTCATTGGAAGAACCAAAGGCTCAGGTATTATGGCTGTTTTATTCCTTAGTGTATCTCCAGAATCGAGCACAGCTCTTCACATGTAGTAGGATATTGGTTGAATCAACAAGGAAGCAAGTAAAGGGAGGGAGGTGGGAGAAGAAAAGAAGGAATATTTGTTTTCGGTTGTTGAGACAAAATGAGAGCTCCGTGTAGATAAACCCTGATACCCTGAGCATCTTACTACATACATCTGTAGGTATATCAGTTTGAAAAGCACATGCTTAGAATGACTAAGTGAAGAAACAAGGCATCTCCTTCTTCTTCGGTGATCCCAGAGAGGCTTTCCGCCCATGTAGAAGTTAAAGGAAAGCGTTCCGAGCTGGGTTTCAGGGACCACTTCAATTTCTTCAAAGTAAAACCTGCGTCTTTACTTCCGCATCCCACACATTGCGAGGGGCAAAGTAAGCACTCAATAAATAGTAGCTGCAGAAATGACAAATGACCCAAATTTTGCTGCAGACTAATTTAACTGTGGAGACTCTATCCATCCTCCGTTTCCTTGTGTCTATCGAATAAAACACGGAATAAATAGTACCTAAAATCCCTTCCATCTCTAAACTTCAGTGACGTCTCAAAGCTCAGCCTGAGATGACCTGTAGTGTAGTTCCCGAACTTATGAATCTCATTAGCTTGGAGTGAAATTGGGTTTTTAGGAAGAAATGGACACCCGCTATGAATGCCTGGGGAAGGATCCCCAAGAGAGGGGGAAGGAGAGATGGTACTTGAAAACTGACACACATTCGGGGTGCCTGTGTGGCATAGTTCGTTAGGTGTCCAACTCTTGGTTTTGGCTTATTTATTTATCAAAAAATAAATCTAAAAAAACCTGACATATTAATTTTAAATTGGGAAGCCAGACTTAACATTCTTTTGATGAATTTTTTTTACTTTGGTTTCTAGAGGATTATTGAATACACCTATGAACCAATTTAGGAGGCACATTTTAAGTGATTTCCCTAACTTGTCTTTATAGGTTATATTTCTACTCAAAATGTCTCTGAAACCACAGCTCATGAATTACCAAGTAAGTTACCAACAAAAGCAGATGGGTAATAGATTTCCAGCCATTGTCGTCATTTCTGCATATTTAATAAAGTACCTGTCTGTGTGGTCTTCTGTGATACACGACCTAGATGGAAACTAAAGCAACAGTCCTGAGAAGAAACATCCCAGGGTTATCTCCAGGTGTTGGCATTGTAGGTGACTTTTTTTCTTGTTTTTTGATGCTTTTTAAATTTTCTGCAAGGAGAATCAGTAAGATGTAATTAGGAAAAGTTAAAAAAATGTAAAAGCAAACTGAACAAATCTCTGCTTTCTAAGAAGGCTCTATCATGAAGCAATGCTGACAAATATTAACAGGAAAACCAAGATCCTGGTAGATGCATTTCATTGTGGTTATTACTACTCAAATAAACTTGGTTACAATGTCTGGTGAAACTGATTTCAGGGATCTGGTAGAGGAAAAAAAAAAGCAAGAATTGTTGGTGAACAGATGAGATAAACCATCATTAATAATTTTCCCATTTTCCATTTTTATAGGGTTTGTTTCTGTTATGATACACAACTCATACACATCTGTTATGATGCACAACTCTGTTATGATGCACAGCCCCAAGCTGCCAACTGCCACATTCTAGCAGTAAGAGTATCAGAAAAGTGGCAGCATATAGAATCTTAGGATGCTTTATTCACTGAGACACTTCTACCACATCATGGGAGTCAGGGAGTGTTCTGGCCCAGGCCTGTCTCAGAAAAGTAAGTGACTCTAAAAACATCATAAGCCCCAAATCATAAAACATTGTACATTCTTCTCTCCGTTCCCGAGCATGATACCAGCCCCCCAAAGCAAAGGTGTAAGAGGAGAGGTCTCAGGACCAAATTTAAGGGGGCACCAAAACCTTAAGTCATCAAGATAAATACTTTAATGAAATATTTTTTAAAACTCAAGATTAATTCAAAGAAATCAATGGTGAATAAAATATCATAATTCAAAATACAGCCGGGATCCCTCCGAGTCAGATCTGGGGGTGGAGTGAGGGCAGGCAGAGCAGAGCCGGCTGAGACCCTGGCTTCTGGTGGGCAGTTCCTGGAGAAGAAACATCTTCATCCACTCAGCAACCAAGCCTCTGAGAGCTGCAGCCAGCATTCAGTCTTCTGGAAAGCTCTCTTTCTATTCACCCCTACTTCTAGGGAGTAGCGTTTTGGGGGCCCCAACTTAAAATTCCAGGCGTTTGTTGTAGCTTCTCATCTTCAGTGGGCCCTGAACCCCTAGTTCTGTGAGACCATTAAAATCTCTCACAAGTTTCACAGCCTCTCAGGCATCACTTGCAAATAGACAAATGTCTTCAGAGGAGAGCTGCTGGCCAACGTCAAGCTCACCCATCTGCACCTCCCCTCCACCTCCAGAGCCTGCTGTCCTGGTCAGCTCTGATGCCCTCCCCAGATGCTTTCCATTTGCTCAGCTCTTCTACTCACCATGGGCAGGAGGCTTGGTCTGCAACAAGCTGGTTTGCCTTGACCGGAAGCCAGAAGTTTTTGTTTATGCCTCCAGATGAGTTTCAGAATCATTTGGGAAAGTTATCCTTTATGCAACATAAAAGTATTCCCATGTTATTTGGTTAGTATAGAATGAATGATGGAATTAAATGAGTAAATTAGCTCATAGCAAATAAAAAATTTTGTAATAGTAAATCTCTGAATTGGGAATACATCATGTTTTTCTACTGAGTCCTCTCTTACAACCTCCAAAGAGTTGAAAAAAATTCTGAAAGAAACTTTAGATAAATTTATAAGTTTCCTCTTTGAAGAGGTATTTTACATGTTCTGTTATTATCTTAATTAAAACATGTTTCTGGGGCACCTGGGTGGCTTAGCCGGTTAAGCGTCTACCTTCGGCTCAGGTCATGATCCCAGGGTCCTGGGATCGAGTCCCACATCGGGCTCCCTGCTCAGCCGGGACCCCACTTCTCCCTCTGTCCCTCCCACTCCTCATGCACTCTCATGCGCACTCTCTCTCAAATAAATGAAAGATAAAATCTTTAAAAAAAATGTTTCCTTGTATTTTCAAATTGTTGATTGATAGCCTAACATGAATTTATTACTTTCTGTATGTTCGTTTTGTAAGTGATGTCACTTTGTAAGTGATGTTAAGATAGTTGATTCTCTTCAATTTTCAAAATTAGGCAATTGTATTCCCTATAAAAAGAAATTCTGTTTCTTCACTTGAAATAAATACTTATAGCTGCTCCTTTCCTATTCTTTTGCATTTATTAGAACTTCTCAGTGTTATATATGTTAATGTTCTATAATGGTCATGATAGTAGTCATCCTTGTCTTGAGACTGTCCATAATATGAATGTCACACCATTAATTATAATGTCTGTTGCTTTCAGTAAATTATCCTTATCATGTTAAGAAATTTCCCGCTAACCTTAAATGAAGAGATTTGATCAAGAAAAGATCTAAAATTCTATAAAATACCTTTTATGAATCATAGTTGAAACTTTGGGAAAGTTGACTTCCATATCTTAATGGTATAATAATAATTTCCTGACAGTTATCATGAGAGAGAAAATATCTATTACACTAAGTATAACAGGGATATTTTTTAAACATTTTTTGCTTTTCTTTAAGAATGTCTGTTCATCTTACTAGTTTGTTTTTTCCTGTATTTTTATTCTTCAGTATGTTGAAACAATGAATTATATCAATGGATATTATGATATTGCCCTATGCTTCCCATCCTCGTATCAGTTCCTTGGCTCTTGTATTCTTTTAATATTGTGCTGCATTTAATATTTGTTTTAGGATTATTTTACCTATATTTGTTATATATCAATTTTTTCTGCAATTCATTTGTGGGCACACATGCATTTGCTATCAAAAAGGTAAATGAATTTTTGCCTTTTTATTCAAAAATAATTTATTAATCACTATATGCCAGTTTTAAAAATATTTTGGAGAAGAGTCATCTCTTCCAATTATAGTAGAAAGATTTTTTTACAAGATTAGGCAAACAATATATTTTCTTCATGTGTACGCGAATATGGTAAATTATATTATCCCATTTCTTTTCTCTAAATTTTTATTTTGAAAAATTCCAAACACATGGAAAAACTCAAAGAAGACTAGCAGAAATATTCATATATTATCTTTCTTGATTCAATAATTGTGAATAATTGACCATATTTGCTTTATCTGTCTATAAGTGTATAAATATACATATACTTTTGTCATGTCATTTGAACGTTAAGTTACAGACATTATGACACTTCACCTGTAATCATTTTCACGTTCATCTCCTAAGAAAAAGGATATTCTCCTAAGTAATCACATTATTTCAAATTTAACAATATTAATAGTAATACCATAATGTAATCTTTATATTCACATTTTTCCAATTGTCCCATGAATGTCTTTTATAGCTGTTTTTATTTAAAATCAAATTTTAACCTACATTTGTTCATTGACTTTGGTTGCTGCATCTATTTTAGTTTAGAATAATTACCCAAGTTTTTTTTTAATGGCATTGATTTTTTTGAAGGCTCCAAAAGAGTTGTTTTGTTTGATTTGCCTAATTATTTCCTCATTGAATGTATCTCTTGAGGGAAATTTTTGACAGTGTTCCTTTTTTACGACTATTTATTTCTCAGGCTTTTTTTCATTAGGTGTTCAATCATATATATTTTTCCAAGATGCTTTTTACATCTTCTTTGTTGATTCATCTGTGGATGGACATCTTGGCTGTTTCCATAGTTTGGCTATTATAGACATTGCTGCTATAAACATTGGGGTGCGTGTGCCCCTTCGGATCACTACATTTGTATCTTTGGGGTAAATACCCAGTAGTGCAATTGCTGGGTCATAGGGTAGATCTATTTTCAACTTTTTGAGGAAATCCCATACTGTTTTCCGTACTGTTTTCCAGAGTGGCTTGCATTCCCACCAACAGTGTAAGAGAGTTCCCCTTTCTCCAAATCCTTGCCAACATCTGTCGTTTCCTGAGTGGTTAATTTTAATCATTCTGACTGGTGTGAGGAGGTATCTCATTATGGAGTTTTTTTTTTTCATTTTATTTTTATTTTATTATGTTATTTTAATCACCATACATTACATCATTAGTTTCTGATGTAGTGATCCATGATTCATTGTTTGCGTATAACACCCAGTGCTCCATTCAGTACGTGCCCTCTTAAATACCCATCACCAGGCTAACCCGTCACCCCACCTCCCTCCCCTCTAGAACCCTCAGTTTGTTTCTCAGAGTCCATAGTCTCTCATGGTTTGTCTCCCCCTCTGATTTCCCACCCCCTTCATTCTTCCCCTCCTGCTATCTTCTTTTTTTTTTCTCAACATATATTGCACTATTTGTTTCAGAGGTACAGGTCTGTGATTCAATAGTCTTACACAATTCACAGCACTCATCATAGCACATCCCCTCCCCAATGTCTATCACCCAGCCACCCCATGCCTCCCACCCCCCACCACTCCAGCAACCCTCAGTTTATTTCCTGAGATTAAGAATTCCTCATATCAGTGAGGTCATGTGATACATGTCTTTCTCTGATTGACTTATTTTGCTCAGCACAATACCCTCCAGTTCCATCCATGTCATTGCAAATGGCAAGATTTCATTCCTTTTGATGGCTGCATAATATTCCATTATATATATATGTGTGTGTGTGTGTGTGTGTGTGTGTCTATACACACCACATCTTCTTTATCCATTCATCTGTCGATGGACATCTTGGCTCTTTCCATAGTTTGGCTATTGTGGACATTGCTGCTATAAACATCGGGGTGCACGTACCCCTTCGGATCACTACATTTGTATCTTTGGGGTAAATATCCAGTAGTGCATTTGCTGGGTCATATCTCATTATGGTTTTGATTTGTATTTCCATGATGCCAAGTGACATTGAGCATGTTTTCATGTGTCTGTTGGCCATTTGGATGTCTTCTTTGGAGAAATGTCTGTTTATGTCTTCTGACCATTTCTTGATTGGATTATTTGTTCTTTGGGTG